GCAGTGGTCATAACAATGCTTATTCAATCTTAGCAGGAGGAAATTTTGCAGTTTCTTTGCATGTAAAACTTCCATTATTTGGATGGTGTTCCTGTGACATAGGTCATTATATCTGTAATATGTATTTATAGTGGTTTAAAGACCTGAATAGTTTATGGAATAAAATCTGATGTGATATAGCCAGGAGCCCTGTGGGTTTTCATTTTGCTATTGATTAAAAAGCACACTACTACACAGTGAAAATAAGGGAAAGAATTGGAAACTGGGTGAAAATTCCTTTTACCCTATATAAATAATTTCACATTTGCTTTAAAAAAGGAGTCTTTGCTTATATTTTTCCCTCAAGATAATCTCTGCCTTTGTTTCAAAAAGGTTATTGATTGGATTGTTAACTTAAATAGTCTGTGGCGGGTGTGACAGAGCACATGGCTGCAATTAATCTTGCGATGCAGAATCCATTATTGAAGAAGCACTAATGAGCCGTTCTAAGGCCTTCACTGGTCACAGAGCGCCTGGGAGCAGCAGACTGCTCCTGCCCTTTAATGTCAGTTTTGGTCTTTAGTGTGCCCTTTAATCTGTTTTGGTCTTTAGTGTTACCCAGCCAGTGTAAGCAGAAGTGATTTTTAGATTTTTTTTTTATTTATTTTATTTTTTGGGGTATTTAGGTTAAAATTTTCCTTACCAACAGTCTGCAATTGCACCAGGTGCGGAAGTCAAGAAATGGTCTCTTGACTGCGTTTGCCCCCTGCTCCTCTGACCAGATGTCTGGTGGACATAGCGTACAATTAAAGCCAGCGGCATGTGAAACACAGGTATCACTATAAAATATGGTCTCAGTCACAAGGTTCAGATCTAGAGGAGAGTTTCGACAAAGATGAGGGAGCTTTTAGGCCTGATCTATACTTTAAAATATTGCTTTAAGACAAAAGGATGAGCTGTTGGAAACCTTCTCACTGCAAGTTTTATTGTCTGTGTTGTTTACAGCTATTGTGGCATAGCAAAAGTTTAGGTAGAGAATAGTTATGGTAGATTAGAAACTGTCGCTGTTAACGTATCACCTTCTCCTTCAACAGAACTGCTCCTGGGGTGTATTTTAGAGGTCTGTCTGTTGACTTTGGTGACACCATAAATACGGGTTACTTCTTCCCCCGTTAGATCTGCGGAGCTGGTACAGACATGTGAGAGTGATCCAGGGTCTACCAGGGCTGAGCCACCACCTGAATTATTAACTGAGTTCCAGCTGCAGACTCTTTGCTGCACACCTTCGCTGTAGCACATGCCATTTATCTCAAGATTAGCAAAATAAGACTGTTTCTTCATCTTGACCACATAAGTGATGAAATTAAGCAAGAAAAACCTTTCCAGCTCTCTGGCTCGTGTGCTACCACAGTGTCTGTAACTTGAACCATATTTTGGACTGCTCTTTGTGTGAAGCAAAATTGTTTGTGAGCTGAACTAGCTTTTTTTTTTTTTAAGAGAATTTGAATCTACCTATAGTACCCCGCCGTATGCAGCTACAGGGCTTTGTCTTCAGGTATTCTGCCACAGAGGGAATGTGAAGAAGTGCTGTGATATGGAGCAGGGATGGTGTTCACTAATACTGCTCCAGGAAGTCTTGGACGTGTGAATTTTCTCATGGGTCATGAAAAACACTGGGTTTTGAACCAAAGTAGCAGGAAAATAGAGAGATTGTGAAGAAGGAGAGCAGGGAGGGCAGGAAAAAGCATTTTAATGTTTTGAGTACCTACTGACATGCTTGCCATATGCTACAGTGCCTCATCACGCTGCTGGCGTAAGTGGAAATAGTCTTTTCAACAACATTAGGTTAGGGTCATGGTACCACAAGGCGCATTGTTTAATGGAAAGAGGATCTGACTTGGAGGCTGAAGAAAGACATGTCCACGAGGAATTCTTTTTCCCTTAGACATGTCATAAGCCCTGGGCTAACAAGAGAGCAATCTGTGGCTATGCAGACATGGCTGTGGGCATTTGTTGGACTCTTTCATAGTCACAGCATTTGGAGAGAGAGGCCAATGGAGTGAATAAATTGGTATTTTTTTGCAAAAGAGTCTTGCATTGCTACTAAAAAGAAGCCACCATGGCCCTCACGCCAATATTAATATTTTCTAAGCGATCCGCAGCCCACAAAAGCCCATTTCTTTTAGGCTTGTGGTGGGTGTGGTTCTTAAGGGCTCTGCAAAATAGGATGGATCACTTCAAGGATGAGGCAGCATCGATAAGAGATGAAGCACAGAAAACCTGCAGAGGTGTTTTTGAGGCAAATGAGGAACAAGACAGTCAAGACTGATAGCTGGAAGAGAGCAGGAATGGCTGTGAAGGGACAGAGATAAAGTAATGAACAGAATCTGACCTTCATGTCATTTGAGAAAGGAAGAGTCTCTAGCTGGAGTCTCTGCAATGAGCAATGTGTGTACGCAGGCAAGTGAGCACGTGAATGTGTGTATGCATTTAGCTGTGATTTATTTCTGTAAGTTTGATTCCATTCTTTCTGTTTCTTTTCAAATGTGACTGAAGCTATTTAACTCTCTGATTAACTCACCTCCCTGTATGAGTTGTTTTCTGTGATGTATTCCAGCACTGTACAACCTTTCTGGAAGCCGACTCGCTGCCATTGGGATGAATTCCTCCCTGATGTGTAGTGTGGCACATTTGTTCTATTTACTGGTGTTGGAATGAGGTTCCGCGTTTGCTGTAAATCAGATCTGGAGGAACATTTCAGTGTCATGTCAGGTTCTGCTAGTTTGGTAGCATCAGAAATTATATGAGGGCCTCTCAGCAAGAAAAGGTATCATGTCACAAAATCTCCTTCTGCACTGTTGCGGTTTCAAGGTCCCTAGAATTTTAGTTTGGACTTGGTCCACTGTAAATCTCAGTAAAATCTGACTCTTGTTTTGTGCTGACATTTCAAGGGCTCCAAACCCCAGTGATCTTCTTAGCCAATCTGAGCTCATCAGTACTGTCAAAACATTTCTTTATTCAAAGGCTTAAGAGTGATATGAACAATGTCATTGATCCCTCCTTCCTTAAATATCTCCTTTATTTTCTATTCAATTTCCTTAATAACTTATGTACACACATTTCTTTGCTGGACAGGCTTAGTTTTCGTATCACTACCATGCAAATATAACTGGAAAACAAAATCCTTATTACACCATTTGGTGGTATCATGGGCACATAAAGGAAATATATTCCCTACAGCATTATTGCCTTACCCAGCAATTCTCAGCAACTGTTTGCTTCACTAGCTAGAAAATATAGAAGCTTCTTGTAGGGTGGTGATGGGTGATGCGACGACACAGCAAAATACCGCTGATAGGTCTGGTAATGAAGATAGCACATCTATGCCCACATCTACCATAGCCGTGCCTTTTTTTCTTAATGGAGAAGCAGCATTTCTTTCTCCACTCTTAAAAAGACATTTAGGCTGGTGGAGGTGGAAAAGATTTTTTCCTACCCTTTGGCTGTAGTCTAAGAACAGCAGATCGGCTAGAAGTGAAAAACCCGCGCGCACCTGATGGTGTAAGGTTCTAGAAGTAGCACACGATAGTGCTGGATGTGCGTACCTGTATTTCTAGTTTTTTTATAGATGAGCAATTGGCTATCCCCGCCCCATGTCCCCCGCCCCCAACTATGCACAGTATTAATGCTTACATGTGTCAGAGAGGGATGCTAAATACGGGGCTTTCCAAGAAGGCAAGCAATAGATTATTACAGGTGACTTAGGGACTGCCTCAGCCTGATAGGGGTGGTTTGGGAATACAGTACTTTGTTTCAGCGGTATATTTTTCTTGTTTTGTTTTGCAGAAGGAACACTGATCCTACCTTTGGTTTGTTTGTTTGTTTGTATTTTCCCCTCCAGAAAGCCCATTGCTGACCCTGCTACTGTGATACCGCTGTTTTCCCCGCCCCAGTCCCCCGCCCCCAACTATGCACAGTATTAATGCTTACATGTGTCAGAGAGGGATGCTAAATACGGGGCTTTCCAAGAAGGCAAGCAATAGATTATTACAGGTGACTTAGGGACTGCCTCAGCCTGATAGGGGTGGTTTGGGAATACAGTACTTTGTTTCAGCGGTATATTTTTCTTGTTTTGTTTTGCAGAAGGAACACTGATCCTACCTTTGGTTTGTTTGTTTGTTTGTATTTTCCCCTCCAGAAAGCCCATTGCTGACCCTGCTACTGTGATACCGCTGTTTTGCAAAGCTGGAGTCGACACGCATGTAGGGGCGGGGGTTGTAACTCTGGCAATTTGTCCTTCCTGATTAGATGTGACTGTTCTGCTAGCTTTCCCTTCTTTATTCCTTTCATTTAGTTCGTTGTGGGAGTTGGCTTGGGTTTTTTTCCTTTCGGTTTCTTGTTTTGATCCTGGAAGGTTAGCTGTGCAATTTGGTTTCTTCTGTGCCAACCAACTTTAGTGGCAGAGCTCTTAAAAAAATTAAAAGCTGTATCCCTCCATCCTGTCTTGCTTCTTCTCTGTACACTACTGCTTCCATTTAAGCAAAGTTTACAGAATTGCTCCACCTATTTGGACGCCAGGCAGGGAAGCTCTGAAATGGAGAACAACCTCATTTCCACCAGGTCCTTCGGTCCGGTCGAAACAACGCTAATTGAAGCTGTAGTCCAATTTCTATTAAGATGGATGGGCTGTCTCTGAAATTGGGTTTGTTTCTGATTTCATCCTTTCTCTTGTTTTCTTTCCAAAAAAAGCCCCACAAAAACCAAACCCAAAGCCAAACCCTTTTTAAGAGCTCTGAATAAAACTGCTTTGCCAATGGGGAATGGGTGGGGATGACTCTGATTTTCTCTTGTGCCCGGCAGCGAAAGGGTTAATGCCTGCTTTCCTCTTTGATATCTGTTAGTTGCAGCCCATGTTGTGATCAGTCCATGTCCATGTGCGTTTTGTTCCCAAATTTAATACCGGTTAATTAACAAGCAATAAGTGAGCCTTAACAATGACAGTTGTTTTCAATCTTCCTCAGGACACCCGACCTGCCTGCAGTTCACCACAAACATGACAGAGGCGGTTAAAACCTATCAGTGGCAGTGCATTGAGTGCAAATCTTGCAGCCTTTGTGGGACCTCTGAGAACGATGTGAGTTCATTTACCTTTTCATGCAAATAAATGTCACTGCAAGCTACTGTCATGCCCGCCCTTGAGGAGCATGTGGCAATGGTGTGGGTCATGGCTTTACTGCTGCTTCCATGCATCCCCGAGGAAAAGCCACCCTGAGAGCAGAGACGGGCTTCTCCCCAGTGCCCCCATTCAGCCGTCGGTCTCTGCTGAAATCACCACGTGTATCATGTAGGGCCACTTAAGATGGCAATACTTGTGGTTTTTATGCTTATTCAATAGCAATTACCTGGAGGCCATAAACTCATGTCGCGGGGAGCTGCAAAAGAGTGGTATTTTCAATATGGTGATCAGGAGTAAATGTGAATAGGTGATAACCTGAGAGATGGCAGGTATGTTTCTTCTGTCCCTGATTTTGCCTGCCTTCTTGGCATGACTTTTTAATCTTAATTATAAGACTTGGGAAACATGAAAGCATTTGAACTGGGATGGCTAGGCTCCGCTCTAGTCACGTAATCACCTATCCCAGTGATTTCTAAACCATGATCCAGAGCCTGCAGCTGAACAGTGTCCTCTCTGCGGGGTTTTCAGTTCAAATCTGATGGTAAGGGTCCTTGGTAGTCTGTGAGAAACTTGGAGAATTGACAGTGGCTGGAGAACTTTGGAGGCGATCGGCTAAGACTACATTCCCTATAGCAGAATAAATTTGAAGCCTGAGGTTTTGTTTTGCTTTAGCAGTAAATAAGGAAATCTGAAAACAGGGAGCTGTTCTGTGTTAGGAGTCATGGGATACTTCAGAGAAAGTTTTTCCCCAAAAAAGTATGAAAGAGCTGCAGACCGTATGGTGGGATCATGTCATTTCCATCGGTTTCACAGAGCATTCGCTACTCAGCTGAGTTTTGAAGAACTAGCTAAGTCCAGGCTTTTGATGAGAAAGGTTTCCCCTGGAGGGAGGAAATCCAGCATGTGGGCACATTGGAGCCCAGCAAAGTGGGGATGCCTGTCCTCTTCTCTCAGTACAGCATATCCCTGGCCTAACAGCTTTTGCTCCTGCATCATGAGGCCACCTTGGAGAGGAAGTCTTCCATCTCTCAGATTTTCCAGTTAGAAACTGAACTGCCTTTGTGATGAGAAGGGTGGTGGTTGATCTTGGACGCAAAAACGTGATGCCTTTTATGTTCCCAATAGTATCTTAGTCTCTATGTTGCAGCTCTGCTTTCCTAGCTGAGCACTGCTGGTTACCATGCTTATGTTTTCATCTTGGCAAGAGACTAATTTACATCATTTTCTCTCTCTCCTCTCCTCTCCTTCTCTCCCTGTTTCCCTACTGTCTCCCCAACAACCCTGCCTCAGGACCAGCTGCTCTTCTGTGATGACTGTGACCGTGGCTATCATATGTATTGCTTGAATCCACCAGTCTTTGAGCCCCCAGAAGGTAACGTGTTAGAAAACTGCTTGGAAAGTCCTTGTGGAGAAGGGAAGAATTTCAGAAAGGTGGCCTGGGCCATGCAGAGTTATGGAAGCAGTAGCAAAGCAGAGGCAGGTAGCAGTGGAAAGAAAGAAAATTAATAGACGTGGAGGTCTAGTGTGATCTGAGATGCCCTATGTAATCTTGCCTGGTGTCTACCTCCTCTTCCAGGACATGGCTCTTTCGCAGGTCATGGGTACCTTTGGATGTCCCAGATGGCATTGGACACCTCAATTTAGTCAACTGAATTGAGCTCCTGTGAACTGTGACTTTGGACTTCCTAAGAAGTCAAAGTCCCAGAGAGAAAGCCCAGACAGGGAGGTCCTCTCTGGAATAGCTGAGAGTCTGTTGCCAAGAGTCTGAATTAAGAGGAATGACCTTCCTCGTTGTCCGGTCTGTCTGTGCCTCAGAAGGGTGAGAGCTTTATAGTCTGTATTGCATTTGGTATGTAGTTCTGTCCTCTGCAGGGGATTCAATCTGAATGTACTACAACTGGTTGTAAGTTTGTCACTTGGGTGGGGAGCTGAGGAAATAGTCCCTTACCATTATTGATTGACTAAAATCTGCAGAGAGTGGTAGAATTGGAGAAGGAGACGTGCAAGTACAAATGACTGTGGTTTACATGAGGGGCAAGACAAGAATAATTACAAATCAATCATGCATTCAGGAGCTAAACGTTTGTAACTTTGATAAAGCAGAAACTAAATCAGGAGGAGAAAATTTTGAAATGAAGCTAATAATTAGCTAAAGGTTTCTGTTTGATTGGGAAGTGGTGTATTGAATGTACGAAAATATAAAACACCTAGTGGCAATGCACACCCCAGCTGTGTTGTAACTTGTGTAGAGAGCCTATGTACACAACACCAAGGGCAGCAGAGCCTGCTTCAGAAAAATACAGGCATTCCAATGTTAGGCATATTTGATATCCTGTTCAAGCCGATCTTGACATAAACTCTGAGTGCCTGGATTTGATGTCATTCCTATAAGAAGGATTTCTTCATTTGCAGGGAGCTGGAGCTGTCATTTGTGCCGGGAGCTGCTCAGAGAAAGAGCATCAGCTTTTGGCTTCCAGGCCTGAGGAGCTCCAGCAGTCAAGAAACACTTTGGTCCTGGTGTTGCCATACCAGCACACAGTTCCCATCCAGAACACAAAGACACAACCCACATCAAAATGAACAGACACTCAAATACAGGAAGAGGTATCTGTGGTATTCACTGTTACTAATGCTGTGCCTCCTGGGCTCTACTAGAAGGATCATGTACTTTCCCGATGCTCCGGATGAAATCTCTTCACTGCTATGCATGGTTGCTGCTTACCGTTACGGGCTCACATGCATTCTAGAAGGGGGAGGGTTGTTATATCGACATGGAGAAGTCAATTTTGTGTGGCCTTGTGCTTTCTGTTTAGTCTTCTTTTTAAAGAAGAAGTAATAAGATCTCTCCCAAGCAATTATTGGTGAGTACTACTTTGGCTGGGAGCAGCACCAGTTGTTTCTCTTCACAGGCTTGACTGGAAATCTCTTTACTGCAACCACTTTGTATTCGCAGGGGGCTTTGAGAGTTGCATTAGTTCAAGACTTCTCAGGTCATGAACAACACATTGTCGCTGAGAGAAGCACTGATCAAAAATTTTTGGGGTGACACTTCATCCCTTGGATCAAATGCTTTGGTTTGGCAGATCTTTAGAAGTCTAGTTTTAGTATCTGAAGGAAGAACAGTACCAGTATGTACACACAGAGATGCTTAGAAAAGCCTACCGTCTTTGGTATTTCAGGATATTCAGGCACACTGTCCCACTGCAGTGCCAGCATCCAGTCCAGACTCATAATTTTATTTTTGTTCAGAAAATTGTGAATGGTTGTGTATGTAACTGACTTGCTGTTTAGCTCAGAAAACTGAACAAAAGAAAAACATCATCTTAAGTTGATTGTAGAAAATAAAACTGTCAGTTTTCTGAGCAATCTAAAGTAAGCTGCAAAAAGGAACAACTTTGGCTTAGGGACAAATGAAGCACTTTTGATTAATTTTTTGAAATTTCTAAACTAAAATGTTCTGCAATTGAAAGTTCCATTTTATTCAGGGAATTGCCTAATCAGGAATTCCAGCATTTCCAAAGTGTTACTGTTTTTTATCAAAGTAATTATCAAGATCTAGCTGAATTTTCAACTAACTTTGCCCCCAAATTATCTACAACCACATTTTTGGCAAATGTGATAATTTGGCAAAAAACTTTCCCCAGCTCTAAAGAAGGGAATAATTTACTGAACCTAATATGAAAAGAAGGATTTTCATAATGAAATTAAAATTTAAATAGAAATAGTTGTACTTCATTTAAACAAACCTCTACATGTGAAATGGAGAAACATTAAGCAAGAGCATCAATTGAAAAAATATTATTACAGTTGAGTCTCTTTGAATAATTTAAGACATCACTAGGAGGACAAGTGAGTACATTAAAGAATTTTTACCAGATACATCTTTAAGGTTAAAAACCTGCAACTCCCCGAACTGTTGAATAGCCCAGAATGACCATTTTCTTGAGTATGATGTATATTACTTTCTATGCATAGATTTAAGTGGTTTTATAATATAAATTTAGCAGAGTCCCAAGCAGCATGTGACTCAGGTTGCTTGTACAAGTAGGTAAGGACACTGAAGATTATATTTGGCATATTTATATTGGTTGAAACTTGTCCGCAAAATTAAATGTCCCCGAACACTTGAACGGATGTTGTGAAAGACTATCAGTGAGCTAATTTTTCTTCCTTCTCCTGCTGATTACACTTAGTTAGCATGAGTTATACTGACCTAATGCACTTTCCCTCATTATTTAGATACTTTCTTCACCTTCTGCGTTTTGTTCAGCTTGCACCCTGAACGTAGCCATGTCAGCTGCTAGATTCTCCCATGTACTGTTGCAGCCTCTTCTCAGGCTGCAGCAGGAGTATTTTAACCTGTTAGAAAAAGGCTTTATTAAGTTTTAGAAAGTATTTATCCTAGTCGTATTGGACCAAATCTCTTCCAGAGCAGCTGCACCAGCTGCCTGTGAAATTCATTCAATATCTTAGGCTTTCCATGTGACGGCCCCGGAGATGAGCTGAGAGTACAAAGAAATTTGAGCGTCAGGTGCGGGGAGGGTAAAGCGGGAACCTGTGGACCTGCATTAGGTGTCTGGAAACTGTTGGGACAAAACTCTAGAAAAAATGTAAAATGAAGCGTCTTCCTCCCAGTCTGAAACTGCCCTGGGGAGCACTTGGGGGCCACAGCTCACCCACGTGAGCATTTGCACCCGTCTGTTGGTGTGGTTGAACCCTGCTGACCTGGCACTTCAGGACCATCGCACAGTTCAGGCTGATACAAATTCCTGTTGCTGTTGTGGCCAGGAGCGCAGGTATGTATTCACCAGAACACTGCTGGGCTCTCTCATGGAAGGTGAGTGTGTTGGCAAGAGGGACAGGAGCTGAGAAGCGTGTGCACTGGAGGAAAGTTTTGTGGTGGTGCTGGGGGTGGGAGCGGCAGAGGTGGGTTAGTATTTGGGCTGGTGCTCAGCTACCAGGCCTGCTGGGCTTAGGGAGCTCCGTCATAAAAATGGCCATCGCCTTCCAGTTTCCTAGTATTTGCATTGACCTTGGGAGAGGAGTAGGACAATGTCTGCATTATCAAATGGAGAGGAAAATGCATATTGTTTTAGCCAGTGTGTTAGGGAGACAGTGGTGGCTCATCACGTAAGTCTCAGGTAGCCCTGTTGGTGGGACTGGCTGGTACAGAAAGTCAGTGCTCTCCATCCCTGTGATGGAGACAGTGCTAAATGAGCTGTGCTCTGCACGCACACCTGCTTTCCTCTTTTGTGGTTTTGATCCATAGTGCTGACTGTTTCCTCCTCCCACAACCGTTCTGCAGTGAACAGTGTCTTTCATGTTTGGAAATATTCCTCAGTTGCCTTGCTGAAGTTTATCACTAATAAGATATGATGGAAGGAGAGATTGCTAGATCTTCAACAGCAAAATATTGTTTGCCATTTGAAATCGGTGTAATAAGGTACTTACACACAGTGGTCCAGCTGCGTTTCATCTCCTCAGCTTTGTGCTGTGTCGCTGTGTAGCCAGGCAGCTCCAGGTAACTTTGGCAGCAGATGGGGTGCCAGCTCCCCCATGCTGAGAACTTCCTCCAGCTACAGTCTCCCTTCTTCACTAGCTCGGTCTAAGATAAGGGGCTGGGACGGACCTCTCAGTGACATTTTTAGAATGCATTCAGAGCCATACGTCTTGGCACACTTTAGAAATATTAATCGATCCACCAAGCAAACAATGCTGTACCTGCTTTACTGAGATGTGGAGAGGTTGTGGCACAGCCATCGGGGTGAGGAAGAGTTTAGAAACTCTGAGAACTGTTTCCCTGTCACCTGGTACCCCCTTGGGGACAGCCTTCCTGCATGACTGTTGGTGTGAACTACTTGAGCGACTCCATCCGCTGTCAGGCAAATCTTGAAACCACTTGTAGCAGCGATCTGGTCTGGGCAGCAAACAGCGTGAGGACTCCAACTCTGTATGCTTCTCTCTCTTTCTACGGCAGGACGTGCAAGTTTGTTGGCAGCCCTTGAGGTGATCAAACTCTGGCGTATTTCAAAACTCTTCTGTCTAGGCAAGGCAAGCAATATTTTAGCACAAATCAGGGCCAACTACAATGGGAGATGGTAGAGCCTGCATCCCTTGAAGTCTTCAGATCAAGAATGGGCAGCTTCCCAGAAGACGTATTTTAGTTAAACACAATCTTAGTTAATCACAGGAATGTCTGACTAAAAAAGACTTGTGTTATAGAGGAAGTCAGGCTGGATGATGTAATTGGTCTTCCTGTCCTTATTATAAAAACAGATGTTTACTGTGGGAGAGGATGTATTTAAATACAAGCTGTGTCTGCATAATGGCCTTAAAGTATGTTAGTTAAACATATTCATGGGATCCTTCTCATTTTTAACCCATTTTGGATAACCTAAAAAAGGTCAGTTATAGAAAATCAGCTTTACTGATGCAGTAAATTGCGCATTACCTCCTTCACGCCCACGAGGGCAGCTACATTGGTGTTAGCTACCTCAAGCTGTTCCAGAGACTGAACAATTCAGGCTATATTGCATGAAACCATGGCTTGGTTCTGGCTTTCCCTCCACCACATTTGTGTGATGTGTTGCCCAGTTTTCTGCCCCATGGTGGGGAGACTGGCTGGGGAGGGGAGCTGCTGCAGTGGCAGCCTCGGAAACCAGAGGGGTGGAGAAATGGTCACAAAAAGGGGGTGCATCCAAATCGTACCACTGAGGAGGTGAGCTCATGTTACCGTCACAGAGCCTCCCCTGTAGCTCGGAAAAGGCAGTATCTTTAAGAAACACGAGATGGGTCCCATTCTGCCTCCAAACTGTACTTCCATAGATGTGTCTTTGGACTGAGTTTACAGCATTTCTGTAAACGTACTTTAGGCCAGTTCTTGAGGTAGGAAAGCCACCATTAAGTGTGTTCTTTTGAAGCAAATTTTGCTCTAAATAACTTTGAAATAATTATTTCTCAGCTTTCTTTAAAAGGAGCTTAGTAAATTCTGCCCCAAAGGAAGACTCTGCCGCACCGTGCAGTGTTATGGGACTGTTGCATGTTCTTTACACCTACAGCATGTGTTTTGACAGGGGTCATTTAGGAGGTGAGGAGTGGATGGGGACAGGAAGGAATATTAATTAAGCTTGTCACTGCCGGAGGGATAGTGTGCATTGTGCACAAGGAAATTCCAGGTAGAGCTGGGCATGATTTTTCTGTGTAGAATAAATTTATTTTTTAAAAATGTGCTTTTGAGAGCACCACAATTATTCACATATCCAAGTTCAATCTGGCAAATTATTTCATACAAAAAATCTGGGGGGAATATCGGAAGAGTTGAAAATGCTTGTTTCAATCCTTTTAGAATGAATCACTTCAATATTTGAAATTCAAAGTTAATTTAATTTCAAAATAAAATAATTAAATAGCCTTCATTTGACATAAAACATTTAATGTGGGGCTCAAAAGTATTTCAGGTCTATTTGAATTGAGATTTTCCAAATTTTCCTATTTAGTGTCATACCCACCACTGTGTATCTGGTTAATTCAGTTCCAGCATGTCAAGAAATTGCATTAGAGAAAACTACAGTATGTACTTAAAACAAAGTTAGCAGCTATGGAGGAATAGGAATATTTAACATGATGCAACTGGTTCGTCTTAAAAGTAAAAGAAGATAAATAAAATGGAGAAATATGTAATCTTGAATGCTAGGAGCACTTTCTTAGAGTGAGACATCTTGGTTGGTCTTACTTGTCTGTCTGTCTATCTAATCAGTTGGCAATGCCAACTGTTAGTCTATAAAACTGTCTTTCAGAGCAGAAGGGAGAAATGCTTTATATTTTCCCGATATATAAAAAAACTGGACAAAGCAACAAAGACTATATTGGGAAAAATTTGGCACCAGTCTGGGAGGGCAGAAAATGCAAATCTTATGGAGGAGATGATTAAAAGATGGATTGTCTTGTCAATTTTGTTATAGGAGGCTGTGGGTTGGACAAGAGGAGATCCTCACCTGAAATTTTAGCAGTCGACCAGATCTATATTTTTGTGAAAATACGCTCTGGAAAGGAGCAGGCAGGCAGGACAGGAAAGCCCTCTTCTCTAGCTAGTCCTGGGTTTGTTATGATCTTAACATCTCATACTTTTGCATGATATACTGCACGGCAGGACAAGGGAAGTATGCATTAATTTTCTTTAGGCAGCCAGACAGGGTGACCACCACTGCTGGGGCAGGAGCAGGCGGGTGCTGTCCCTCTCCTGCCCCGGCCCCCACAACAAGAGGTGTCTGCAGAAACAACCCGCAGGCAAACAGGCAGAGATTCTCACGTACTCATTGCCGTACTTAGGCCTGGGTTAACAGCAGCTGACCCGAATGGGAGGCAGCCCGTCCAGCAGAGCTGCTAGTTGTGCCAGGCTGCCCGCCGGCATGGAGAGTCAGAGCTGCTCTGAGGTTATCTGGAAGCGTGACATTTCACTGCACCTAAGCGGAGTTATAAAGTGCGAGTTTTATTTCCACTTACAACAGGGATTGTGGCACTGCTGTGGGCAGGTACCCAAACTCTCTGTGCCTCACAGAAAAGGCAGGATGGCAATTCTTAGCTGTTTTTGTAAAGCACTTGGAGCCTGCCAACTGCGTGCAGGCAGAGTGCTGCCATTTACTACAGTGCTGCAGACCCAGGCTGTGGCAGAGCAAGAAGAGCCAACTCTCCTGTGCTGTTCCCTACGCCGTTTATTTCTGCCAGCCACGGGCCTGTGATGCTGCCCGGGGAGATGGGAGCAGGTGACAAGCCAGGAGCTGGATGCTGAAGGTCCAAGACCCTGCAGAGGAAATGAAAAGTTTTAGTTACTGTGGCTGTGCTTCTCCTCTGGTCAAAGAGGGCAGGAGCTGGGACTGGGAGGCAGCCAAATCCATCTTCAGTGGTGATATAACTACTAACAACGACCTCCATCCCAGGCAGTATGTAAATGGCTTTTCAGGGCAGGCACCAAACCCAGTCTGGTTTACATAAGATAAACTTGGTTTTACTGGAGGGGAAGGGAGAGGAGGGGGGGGTCTCTGGTCTGAAGGGGACTGATTTAAAAGCGCAGCTGCCCAGCCTACTCCCTGTCATGTTCCCATGGCAGTGCAGGCTCAGGCTGCCTCCTTTCTACCAGTGCTGGTGCCATCGACCAGGGCCAAAGAATCAAGTCCCTGCTCCTGGGGAGCAGTTCTGCAGCGAGAGTGCTGGCACTGTTCCAGCTCTGTCCCCTGCCGTGCCGGCTGGGGCGCAGGGTCTCACTGCACTGCAGACAAGGGCAGGAGTGACCGACGCTGCCAGGCAGTGTCCCAGGCTCGTGGGGGAGTGTGCCTCTCTTGAAGTAGCCAGGTTGCAAGATGTGGGAGCACAATTTGGCTGTCCTGATGGCCAACTCTTAGTGCAGAGCAGAGGAGAGGTGCATTACCATCCTGTCGCGCAGCTGCACCGCTGGAGTGTTTGGCAAGTCCCACCACCACTGTGCATTGAGGCACTTAACTGA